GGATGAAGTCTTTGGTTCGTCCTATAGTGCTGCCGTGTACATTGCCCGCATCCTCAAGCTGCCCGGGCCGAAGAACAAAGTGTTTGTGTTGGGCGAGTCTGGCGTCGAACAGGAGCTCGAATCTGAAGGCGTCCCCTACATTGGTGGTACAGACCCTGCATACCGTCGCGATATCCGCCAACCAGAAGATTTCGATGCCATCGCGAACGGCACCCTTCTTGATCCAGATGTCGGCATTGTACTCAGCGGGCTAGACTTCCACTCCAACTATCTGAAGACCGCAATCGCCTTTCAGTACCTACAGCGTGGGGCTGTCTACCTTGCGACAAACATTGATAGCACGCTGCCAATGTCGCATACTCTGTTCCCAGGTGCAGGCTCTTCTGGTGCCGCGCTTGAGAGGGCGATTGGAAGGGCACCACTGTCTCTGGGCAAGCCGAGCCAGGCTATGATGGATGCTGTAGAAGGAAAATTCAAATTCGACCGCAGCAGGACTTGCATGATAGGAGACAGACTGAACACCGACATTCAATTTGGCATAGACGGCAAGTTGGGAGGTACGCTGGCTGTGCTGACCGGTGTCAGCAAGAAGGAAGACTTCCTAGCCGAGGGTGCGCCGACAGTTCCCACCGCATACGTCAACGCTTTAGGTGACTTGCTGGGCTGAGTGGTGTGCAGACAGCAAGCGTGCGTTGGAGCGTTGATGTATCGCGCATCGAGGTGGAATAAAATGAACATAGACTTGATAGAACTGATACAATCCGCTACTTAGATATATACACATAAGGCGAAGTAGCTTTGACATTGTGCTATTCAGGACTGCATGCTGGTAGGCTATTAGCTGGGGTCGAATGTGCCCCATCAGAAACCTGGGATGCGCGCTGGCTCTAAATGGTTAGCGTGGATTTACGCGTTGGCGCGACCGCGCCTGCCACTTTAACATACTGCATCCACATTACCCGACTTGCTTGCCCAGGTAATAGACCAGCAACAATACAACTTCGCCATGATCCGCCACGACCATTCCCGAGTCGATACCAAGCGTCGTGCCAATCTCGATTACAAGAAGCGACAGTTTGCCAAAGCGGAATTCCAGCAACAGAACTACCAGCACCGGCTGAACTTCTATGTGCTGCCACCCACAGCCGAAATTACTCTCGAGGAGTTTGAGACATGGGCAATCAACCGATTGAAGGGTCAGTGGCATGACAATGCGCAAACAACTGTGTTCACTTGCTGACTTTGACGTTGCAGTCCTCTCCGAACTCGAAGCATGTAGTTTCCGCAACAAGAGCCCTGAAGAGACGGCCGAGTATATGAAGAGTATACTCGACAAATACCTACCACTTCGATCAGATTCGTCAAGAAGCCAGAAACTACAGGAAGAGAGGCGAAGGGACCACTATTCACACTTCATACTTAGGCTTGCGTTTTCGTCAACAGAGGATCTCCGCCGGCGGTTTTCGCGGCTAGAGACAATGCTGTTCACACTACGGTTCAAAGATGATGATATACGAGAGCGACAAGAATTCGTAAAGAGTCTGAACCTTGAGTGGGAGGAGGTCAAAGAGGATGAGAAGCGCGAATTGAAGGACGACCTACATGCTGCTAGCGGAATCAAGAAGACTGAGGATCAGGAGTGGTTCAAAGTCGACTGGGAGCGAGTGCCAGAACTCGTTGCACAGAGAAAAGTCCTGTTGAGAAGGGGCATGGCTTATGTGCCACAACGAGAGCAGATGAGCTTAGTGGTGGCCGAGTTCACAAAGAAACTAGACGAGGCACTTGAAGTATGCCATCCGCAATGCGTGTTTTTCGAATCTTTTGCTAACCGTTTGAACAGTTGACAGCACGAGCACTTCCTCGCCTCGACGAAGACGACCGCCTTGCACCAATCCTTGCACACCTTTCTCAGTCCTTCACAGCGCCCGACGCCGCATACTCGACGTCAGATGCCGATATCAACGGCCTCTCCACCATAACTGCTAACAGCATCGATACACTGTCGCAAAATTTCCCGCTCTGCATGCGCAACCTACACATGACATTGCGCGAGAACTCACATCTCAAGCACTATGGCCGTCTACAGTATACTCTGTTCCTGAAAGGCATTGGCCTAAGTTTGGATGAGTGTTTGGTATTCTGGCGGCGAAGCTTCAAGCTGATCACAGATGAGAAATTTCAAAAAGAATACAAATACAACATCCGCCACGCCTACGGCGATGTAGGTGGTGACGCCAACCGTCGTGGCCGCGGCTACACCCCTTACTCGTGCCAAAAACTTCTCACAGAACCTCTTCCTGGACCAGGACAGTCACATGGCTGCCCATACCGTACATTTACACCGGACAACCTGCTCACGCTCCTCCAACGTGTTGGCGTTAACGACCGCGATACTCTCAAGACAATCAAGGAAGATGTGGTCAAGCAGAGATACCACGTAGCTTGCAATCGCGTTTTCGAATGGAGTCATAAAAAGGAAATTAAGAAGGTCAAGGACGATGGCAGTTGGAGTAACAATGATCTGGATACCATTGTTCATCCCAACACGTACTTCAAGCGAAGTTGGCTATTGAAGCATCTCGGAGAGGGGAATGCGGGCATTGTTAATAGTGGGGATAAGATGGAAGAGTAATTGGTTTGAATGGTCAGCGTTTCTGTTGCACTCATGGTTTTGAAGACGCTGAGATGTGGATGGTTAGGATTTGGTATGACGTCATGGCCTTCTTGAAGAATACTACATGGTTGTTCCGACTATTGAACTGCTTTCCGTCAATTAAGACTCGGCAGTGTTTTGCGCTAGTGTAGGATATCAAGCATATAATCGATGCATGAAGAACAACGTTAGCGGGAAACGCTGAAAATGCCAGCCTAGACTCTTTTGCCGACTCATTGTAGAAGCATGCATATTTCAATTTTTTCGAGCATATCATCTGAGGAATTCGGAAAATCCGGAAAATCCGGAAAATCCGGTAGACCACCGGGTGAAACTAAAACTCAGCCGCGGCAAGAGCTGCTGAACTGAGTATCCCGCAGGCCCCGCCATTGATACGGAAGCTATTGAGCGGCCAGTGGGCCGGATCCTCGGTGTTTGCGCCGTTAAATAATGTGGTCAATTGCCGACAGCCCCGCCATAACATACTCTCGGAATGTCGGAAGTGCAGCCGGAACTACTACATACGAGGGGCAGGACTGTATCATCAATCCTACCTCACATTCCTCTTTCCTCCAGCATCTTACATCTGGGAATTGTGCATTGATTCTATACAATACAAAAGAATCTATTCATCATATATATCATCCATAATGGCACCCGATCTCTCCCAAAACAAAGCCGTGAAACTTGTTGCACACGCCGCAGCAAACAAATACGCCATCTGCGCAACATGTGTCTACAACGTTGAAGGAATCCTCGCATCTGTTCGCGCTGCAGAAGCCAAGCGCGCTCCCCTCATTATTCAGCTCTTCCCATGGGCAGTACAATACGCAGATGCCATTCTTGTCCACGCCGCACGTGAAGCAGCAGACAACGCCAGTGTGCCCATTGCGCTCCACATGGACCACGCCCAAACACCCGAGATTGTAAAGAAGGCAGCAGATATCAAGAATGGCTTCGACGGCATCATGGTTGACATGAGCCACTACGACGACAACCTGGAGAAGACCAAAGAACTAGTCGCCTACTGCAACGAGCGCGGCATCATCACCGAAGCCGAACCCGGCCGTATCGACGGCGGCGAAGACGGCGTAGGCGACCTCAGCGAAATGGGCCTCGAAGCCATCCTCACCACGCCCGAGCAAGCAGAAGAATTCGTCGCAACAGGCATCAACTGGCTGGCCCCCGCCTTCGGCAACGTCCACGGCAAATACGGCCCGAAAGGCCCACAACTCGACTATGAGCGCCTCAAGCGCGTCCACGCTCAAGTCGGCGACCGCGTCAGCCTTGTGCTGCACGGCGCGGGCAAAGAATACTTCCAGGAGAAGCTCCTGCGCGAGTGCATTGACTGCGGTGTCGCCAAGATGAATATCAACGATGGTTTCAATGATGATTACCTGGATGTTATGAGGGAGCATGCGGCCAAGACTCCGCTTACGGGCTTGATTGAGAAGTCGACGAATGCCATGCAGAAGAGTATTGAGCAGTATATTGTCTGGATGGGAGGTGAGGGTATGGCGGATAAGATGTGAGATTTTTTGGGATTTTTTTCTTTTCCTTTGGACAGTTACAGGGAGGCGCGTATATAGGGGATGAAGTTAGAAAAGTGTAATTGATTGGTATGTTGAATGAAATTCTTTGGGGGCTTTTGAATGTCCAAGTGTGATGATTGGGGAGAGTATGAACTTTTGCTGAAGTACAATTGTGACTTGGTATTCGTGTTGACTCTTCTGTCAAATTTTATGATCATTTTGGTTAATATTTTTCACCATGAATTGACCAAATCATACTGAACTATTTGCACTAGTGAATCTCACTTGATGCCAAACTTGGAGATATAGATTTTTTCCTTTCCTCGATAACGACCAAGACTGTACATACCAGTAATGAGGAAGATTTTCAGAGTACTAATAACTGAAGCGGCTCTGCTTAAAGGTTTCAGGCTTGCTGCTGTGAGCAGTATTCACATCTCTGATAATGCTAGCGTGAAGCACGACTCAGCTGCTGTCTATTGCAACTCGGCGAAACTGAAAACGGTGCACTTACCAGGCTTAGTTAACATCGCTACTTCGTCGTAACCAACGTCATGTAATGCCCAGCTACACAAGGTTTCTCGCTACGCAGGGATGGCTAGACGGTACTCCTATCGATACGCGCATATCCCTGTTCTGTAATCTCCGCCCAAAAACACTGGCCCAAAATTTCCCGCTCTACCCCTCGAAGCCGCGCCCGTACCCTGCTCCTTGTGTCGCAAAGCCTCTGGTGACTCTTATACACCCCTTTCAGCGTTCGTTGCCTAGAGACGCTGTTTATACACCAATTGCGCAAAACAAGAAACATTGCGACAATGTCGTCGACAAACACCATCATCGAACCACCAGCAGTCAAGAAACGCGGACGCCCTAAGAAGGCCGCAGCCGAAGATGCGGGGGAAACAATAGTCGCAGACGCAAAGAAGACGTCGGCTGTAAAAAAGGCGACTACAAAGTCTATAGCGCCCAGGGACAAATTCGTCGCGCCAGAGAAGGACAAGAAGACAATTGCAAAGAAGAATGCGCCGGAACATCCCACGCCTGTCACAGCAGCAACAAGCAAGATTCTCGAGTCTGTACGCGCAAAAGGGACACTGAGCAAAACGTTACCTACCAAAGCAGCCAGCCTAGAGAGCAGGAGTAGCGCTACGCCTCCAACAACCAAACCCGCAACAGCAACAACAGCACAAGCACCACCACAATCACAACCCAAACCCCCTCGCGCCCACCCCACACCAACAACCATCCCCCTCCCACAGAAACCCATCCCCGCCCCATCCCCCATCTCCTCGACCTCGCACACAACATCCCCCCGCAACCCCGTCCTCCCACCAAACCCCTACCCATCGACCCCTCGCCGCATCCCGCCCGCGCTCTCCCAACACACGCGCGTCATCGAGCCCACACCCGACATACGGCTTCCGCCCAAGTACAAGCCCGCGGCGCGCCGGGTCACGGCGATTATAGTGAGTTTACCGATTGTGCTGGTGTTTGGGTACGAGTTGATTGAGCGGTGGAGGGGGAAGAAGGAGGTCAAGGTCAAGTTTGGGGGTGAAAGGGGTATGTGAGAGACAGAAGGAAAGGAGATGGAGGGGGGTTAAATATATGAGTAATGGTATATACGAATGGGGCATGACTATAGAGAGGAAAATGCGATAAAAGGATATATACATATTAAATCTCTACTAATAATGTATCTGTGATTTTTTTCTTTCTTTTCTCTGATGTATGTATATCCTGCTTCTCATCAGTAATTCGGTAATGCCTCTCTATCTGTATACCCTATACACGATAATGTCTTCTTAGCTCTGCTTTCTACCGTATTTCACAAAAGAAAAAAAAATAATAGGTAAATGTTTATGTATCCATGTATCACTCTGCATCCTCAAAAAGAAGAAGAAAAAAAGTTCAACACGTCACGCCTGAAAATGCGGAGATACGCAGGAGAACATATGAAAGAAGAGTGTGACTGGCAGATGGACAAGATGATGATATGGACACAAGACTCGCTTGTAGTCCTACAAATCTACAAAAGAAAATGTAATCTCTATACAGACTCAAATTACATGCAACTCTTCTTCCGCATCAGCATACCCCTTGTGCCCGAGTGATCAAGTGGCAAGCCAGATGCACTGTTGCGTCTACTGCCCGGGCGGCTGGGCCCCGGTGAAGGTGTCGGCCAGACAAATTCTTGCTCAAGCTGCGGCGGACCAACACTGACGTCGGGGGTAGCTGGGCCGGGAGGATGGAATAGGCGCTTGTAGCGTAGTTCGGGCGAGCTTGGTGCGTTGCCCGCTGTGGACTGCGAGGTCGCTGATGTCATGGTGAGATGGAACAATGTGTCTGTGCGGCGGCGAAGTGGGCTGGTATTGGCAGGTGGTGATGATATAGGTTGTGATACCGGTTGCGGGGCAGGTCGCATTACGGCTTGGGGTGTCGACGGCCATAGGGTTGGGCCTTGGAAATTGGGTGATGTGGGTGGGGAAGGTGATGAGATGCCATCTGTGAGGTCTGAGTCGGGGTCTGCAAAATAGTCTTGGTCAGAAGTGTCGTTGGTTGACGATGCTGGTTCCAATTGTATCGCATCAATATTTAGGCCGTGAGTTTGGCGACGGGTTGCGTCATTAATCTTTTTCGAGGCGGATAAAGGCTGCAGTGATGCTTTCAACTGCGTGCGAGAAAGGAATGGTGTAGTAGGTGCTGACTTTCTAAGTACTGGGCTGGGAGGGCTCGTCCTCAGTTGGAAGCGCGTTGACTTGTGTGTCGACCTCGCTCGCTTTCTTTGGGAAATGTTAGTGTCTTGAGAATTTGTGCGTCTGATCTGGGGTTCGGTGGGTGTGGAGGGGAAAACAAGTCGCCCCTTCAATTGCTGTATTGTATCGTCCAAAGCAAGCTCAATGGCGACGTGGTTCTGTATGCGTGAAAGCTTCGGCCAAGTAGCACGTTGCCCAGTTAGCATACATCCAATCATGTACTCGGTTGTCGGGTTGCTCAGCACCCTAGGAAAGTCGGCATAGTGGATCTTGGGAAAGATATTAATGTCTCCAGAATACCGCTGGCTAAGGACCGATTTGACTTTGGTGGCAAGGTTTGGAAAAACCCCAGTATCTGCCATCTGCTGCAGGCGATGCATGGCTTCTCCTTTACACAGACTGGCGGAAAGGCTTAGCCAGCTAGGACCAACGTCAATTTCTTGTTGAGCCTCGATAGGAACTAGCCCCTCCTCCTTCTCCAGAAAAGGAACGACATGTGGATTAACTTGAGAGACAATGAAGTGGTTGACATTGAACATTTCTGACAGACGTGTCATTGGCAGGTCATTGTCAACCGAGCCGTCGATCCAAGTGGCGTCAGGATTGGGGTCCCAAGGAACTTCCAGACCAGTCTTGGGGTCTTTGGCGATAAGAGAGGCTTTCTTGTAGATCAATGGGACCGAGCAAGAGGTACATCTAAGTTTCATTAGTATAAACATAAAACAGTGTATCCACATTACTTACACAGCCGACCAAATCATGACGTTCGGCGCCGTAATATAATTCAACAGCCTGGGCAGCTCATAGAGCGAGGATGTTGAAACCGGTATGTTCAAGATGCGACGGGTCCGATTGTATGCCTCCTGAAAAGTCATGTCTCCGAGCAAGCCTCTCATGACTCTGGTTAGATGCGAGATATCGAAAAGAACACCAGACTTCATCAAACGCATCGCCATGCCTAGAAGACCATCAGGTTGGTTTGGGTCTTCAAATACATTCAGATCACCATAGCAGAATTCGTGCATGACATCTGGTATCTCTGCATCCGTCTTGGTGCAAAGCACAGCACAGACGATGCTTCCAGCAGATGCTCCAGAAATGATGCGTGGAAGGAGACGGGCTTCCCACAGGGCCTTGACAACGCCAATGTGGTTCATGCCCAAAGTGCCACCTCCCGACAGAAGCAATGCACTTCGGCCGAAGGATTGACGTGTCTGCAGGAGCTGGTCGACCAGTCGTCGTGGCTCGACAGAACACTGGTCTCCTTGCTTTTCTGACACGCTCAACAAGGCAGCCAAAGTTTGTTGTGCTGACTCAATGTACCTCTCAATCAGCCGTTTGGTGCCGATATGCGAATGCTTGTACAGGCGCAGATCACCCATGTCGCCCAAGCCGCGGGTGAGGGTGGTTCTAATCAGGAACAACATCCTTTTGACGTCGCAACTCATACGCGCGTCGTCCAATTCATTTAGGCGAGCGGCGACGAGGTCGGCGTTGTACTCGAGCGTCTCATCTTCGTCTTTCCAGGCCTCATTGCCCTCTAAGATGTCGAGCTCAGTGGCAGCGGCTTTCCATTCGTCGTAGGTCTCGGCCTGTGCAGCGCAGTCTCGTTAGCATGTGATGATGGGTACCACCAATCTGAGGAACCCACGTCTTTCATGCGCAGGTACAGAACCTGGCGGCGGGCGTCTTCCGCTGTACCAACCCCCTGTTCAGGGACATTGTTGTCGCCTAATATTCCCACGAGACTGCCTACGGGGTTCCTGACGAGGTGTGCGAGGGGACCAAGGAACCCGGCGTGACTCTTGCTCTTCTTCAAGGATTTCGGGCCATTTTGTCCTCCTCTTACGTGCAGTCGAGTGCTGCCGCCTGCAAAGATAGTGTCAGACAGCAGTGACATGGAGCAATGGTGCACGCCATGCGCGAACGGTACAAGGCCTGAATTGGAGGGTCGGACAATGGTCAAAGGAAAGGGCCGATAGGGGCGCTGCGCAACAGGTTGTGAAGCTATCGAGGTGGGAAGGCGGAGACTGGCAGGACGAGATATTTCAATCGAAAACGGCGGTCGACAGCGTAGTAATAATAGTGCTTTTCCCCAGAGACGCGGTGTAGGTATTGGCGGAAATGGGGTCAACCGTGGGCGGTGGTCATGCGCCAGGTGTCGCGCAAGTCGCGGAAGCTACGTCACGGGTCGGCGAGTGGAATTTTGTAGCAAACAGCTGGCAGAGCGACAGGAGATGGGCAGCGAAGGTGGACACCGGCGTCTGAAGTATTTACCAGAAGCTGCCAGTGCAGGCTCGAGGGCCGGGGGAGGAGTGGGTGCGTGTCCATGGGCCATCGTCATTAAACGTCAAGGGTACGGCTAAAGAAATGTGACAACGACTCGCTCCAGCAGCACCCACTGGCCGTCCTTGTCGGCCCATGCTGATGATTAGCAAATATTTCCTCTGGGACCTGCAGAAGCTCCACACTGCTGTATCCGCTGCCATGCACCGTCCTGGTCATTGTGGTCGCTGACAGTGCTGACTTGGGGTCACTGGCTTGCGGAGAACCGGCAGGCAGCGTACGTAGATCCGGAGAGGGTGCAAACGTGGGGTGCGCCCATGAACCGCTTCCCACGCGTTCCGACTGCTCCTTTCGATCTCCACACAGCACGAGATCCAAGCACATGAGACGACAGTGCACACACCAAAAAAATTAAGGGTGTCAAGCTCGTGGTCATCTGAACGACACTCGGGCTTAGATACGGTGCCTCTTTCACATGCCAGTCTGACTAAACCAACCATGCGCCCCCCCAAAAGTGGCACGGCCACGTACCACAGATGCATTGTGCACTACTAAGAAAATCGAGTCATGCTGCATATTGCATCTCCAGTCCGTCTACAACAAGACCGGTGAATATGTGCTTCTTACCGCCGTATTTGTCGGAATCCGACCAGATAAAGGAAATCCCATCCACTGCCCATTACATCCACCCAACCCACCCAGCCCACTTATCATGCACGCCCCTTCGGAGCCTGGACTAGATTTGGCTCTTTTCCTTCCTCACGCTCAACATGATACCAACCCGAAGACTTCCCACTCTGGTCAGATACAAGGTAAACTTTCTCGAGATTCCGCAGACAAGCCAGCAGGTTCGGACCAGGCAGCTCGTTGCGAAGGAGCAGCTGCGTGAGGGCATCGAGTTGCTCACGAGACAGTCGCTTCTCCATGAGCACGAAGTTGACCATGATGTTATGTGAGGCAAAGCACATCATGTTGAGTTTATATGGCAGAGTCGCAGTCTCCACATACAACTGCCGACAGACGCTATTCAGTAGAGTGAAGCTCTTGCGTATCTTGATATACGGCTTGGCCGCCGCCTGGAAAGGATTCATCTTGCCGTCAATGACCGTGCAATTATATTTGAAGACAGGCATGACTTTCTTCGCCACCTGAGGCCTCGTGGGGTCGAAGGTTATCCGGTATGTCTCATAGTTGATGTTGACTGTTTTGCCGCCTAGTGTATATCTGTAGATGATATCCCGGACATTTTGCGGGAGCTGCAAGAACGGTGAGCTGACTTGGTTCGTCGACCATCTAGTCGAGTCAGTCTGCGGAACTAAGACGCATTCCGAATCGCACTTACAACTGGGTTTCACGAGACTCTCTTGATAACAGAGACCCACCAATCTTCTCGCGAGGTGCGGGAGTCAGTAAGGCTTTGTAGGCCCTTGGTTGGTAGGGCTCTCTCGGCGCATTTTTGCGGGCTTGTCCAAATAACTGAAAGGTTCGCGTTGAAGGAGTAGGTGATGTCTCAGGCGTGTTCAATCCGTCCTTGTCAACATATCCATTCAGCCGTACAAAACCCTCATCCTCCTGCACTTCATCGTGCCCTTTTCTCTGAACCTCGGCTGGTGGCGTAGGCAGATAGCGTTTGCTCTTCTGGTCGTTGTGTTCTCTGGACCTCTGTCCGATCTTCATCATCTCTGAAAACTGTTGCTTATTGGATTGGAGACTATTCTCGTCTGTCTTTTCAGGCTGGTGCCTTCCATTACTAAGAACTTTGTCGAAAACCGAAAGTCTGTTGCCGCTTCTTGGTGAAGGTTCCAAATCGGCATCATCCGGTATTGAGACGGGTCCACCAAATGCGCTTTTCTTCGACACAAGCGGCTTTTTGGCCCGTGTTTTTGAAGCCGGAGTCACAAACTGAACTTCATCTGATTCATGAGCCGTCTTGGTCCGCTTGCGGCCGTCGTCATTCTCACGAACTTGATCAAAATCGAAGGAAAGGCGCCGCTTGTCGGGTTGCCGCCGCGAATACGTTATCTTTTTCACCATCTTACGGCAGAACTCCAGAACTTTTTTAATGAGTGCGAGAATGGCGAATGATGTGATTTGAGGTACTTGGGTTGGGTTGGCGTGTGCAGTGATTGGCGGACCTGCAGTGTTGACATATAACGGCAGGCGTCGATGACAGCCAACTTGTTTATGCCAATTCAGGGTGCACAATTGGCAAGGCGAAATAAGAACGGAAGCGTGGACTCAGGTAATAGCGCAGTCGTAAAGGGCACTTACGCGCACTCTCACTTTCCTCGAGATGTGTTCAGCGCAACGGTGAAGTCCTGCAGCGTGGCTCAACAAGTGGCGTCGGGATGTCAGTACGCGGCGTGACGGAGACAAAAGTCCGAATCGAGAAAAAGCATATACACGGAGTCCCAGGGAATTGGAAGGCCGTGTGTGCGATGGTCCGATGTAGAAATAGATCTCCCCATGTCGCGGTCTCACGTGCGGTCATGGCGAATCAATCTGGTTAGTCTGTCATCATGGTCACATGATTGGCTTCAGTAGCCTCGAGTCCAGCCCCAACTATCGTCCATTTCAGCTCAGACCATACTGCGACATTGCATTGGCCGATAGTTTGATGCTCTTCTACACACTATCTATTGTGTAATTGCATGTTGGTCTTCATACTAGCACTCTTGTAACCATTTGACTCGGGTCTCCTCTGGTGAAAGTGTACGCAGCTGTCATGGTGGCGCTATATGCAATATTGCTTGGACTTTTACTTTTTGTCAAACTGAGGACTTTGGTCATTCTAGCCAGTCACCCAATTCCACTTATCTCTCATCACAAATAAACAGACAACGCACTACAGTTTGGGAATATTGGAATCTCACTGTGGTTACCAGTGACCTACTGGCTTTCTCTCTTCATGTTTATATAGGATATTGTTGATCCTTCATGACCAAATAGACAGAAAGTTATTCCAAAGACTGGAAGTGGAGCGGGTAGCATATCTTCAGGATCTGAAGCATCACGATACCAAAAAGAAAAGGAGCTAGACGCGATCAAAACCTCAGGTGGCCGAACGACCGAACGAAAATTGGGAGCAGAAGCGAAAAAGACAATGACGATGCTAATACCTGAGAGTGCTACTGGACATCAAAAGGTCCAGAATTCCCCCATGCAATTTTACGCCCACATACCTGGTAAGTATCAGGTACATCCGAAATACGATCCAATCGCCTGCAACCCAAAACCCCTAGGGTGGGTTAAGAAACAAGGGCATTGAAGCAGAGAAGCCTTGTTTAAGTTGTGTGGAGTCTCCGCGTTCCATTTTGCGGAGAGATATGCAGGAACCATGGTGTAGGCCTCGGTACTAACTCTTTTGGAAGAAGGGGATGGGTCAGGTACCGTTATGTACGTGCAATGTTGAGGTGTTAGTGGTTTGCCTGCGGGGTTGCGGACCTGATTATTTTTGCGATTGAAGGGTGAAGAGATGAGATTTTAAGGATGGAAGATATCGTATCAGGTGATACAGCCTCACTTGATTGTGCCTTCAAATGATGAAACTCCACTCCCTACACAGTGTTATGTTTGGTGGATAAGATATCATAAACTTGAAACCAATTAGTAGACGAGAAAAATATGATGCTCTAGCCAGTGTGTGGGGAAGCCTAAGTTGAACCATGGTTCTGAGCGCGGGCCGTCGCGCATTTTGTCCAGAGCAATGCAACGTATTGCACATACGTTGAAACTTGAACGTACCTATGGTTATGAAGGCTCGTACCAGCCCCAGTTCCGAGGATCATTACTCAATGCCCAGATCAACACGATACATAAGAACTCCCATGTCTGGCATTCCTTATCTTTTGATCCTCAAGTGCTTCATGGTCTGACGACTGAGTCTCCAAAGCTTTCTCACAAGTTCAAACCCATTAAACAACTAACCACTGACTCATCGCTGGTACGTTGACTTTATCTCATGTACCATATCAACATTTTTTTACTGACACGGCACAGATCATGGCTACGCACCTCCGGAGCGGAAGCGACGCAAAGTCAAGCGGCTCTACCAGCCGCAAGAAACAGCCAAACGACAACATCGAAATGGTTCCTACGCGGAGTGCCGAAACAGGATCCAGCGGCGCTTTCAAGCTCGATGAGGCAAATTCCGTTGAAAAGACGGGATACATGTTCTCGACGAAGAAGAAGTGGCAGATTCTGACTGTTGTGGCTTTGTGTCAGACTAGTATGAGTAAGTGAAGCAACTAACCTGCCAAACATCGAAGCTGCGCAGAACTAATATTTGATAGATTACAATGCAGCAGTCTACTCAAACGCCATCGGGCACCTCAACACCCACTACAATCTCGGAACCAATCACTTCAACAACGCCAGAGCGGGAATGGCCTGGTTCCTGATTCTGTACGGATTCGGATGCGAACTCTGGGCTCCTTGGTCCGAAGAGTTTGGCCGGTGGCCCATCATGCAAGTATCACTCTTCACTGTCAACATGTGGCAGATACTTGCCGGTGCCAGTACTTCCTGGCATCAAGTACTAATTGCACGTCTCTTTGGTGGTCTTTGCTCTGCAGGCGGCTCCGTGACCCTTGGAATGGTTGCCGATATGTTTGAGCCTGAAGAGCAGCAGATGCCCATTCTCTGGGTCAGTCTGTGGAGTTGTCTGGGCTCCGGTAAGTTGCGCGACGGCCTTGATGTTGAAAACGATTTACTAACACATGCTAGTCATCGGTGGCATTTGTGGTGGTCCCATTGAGCAGTTCCTGGGCTGGCGCTGGAACTTCTGGATCCAGCTGATGCTCGGTGCTACTGTTCAGGCTATCCACGCGTTTTACGTTCCTGAGACTAGAGCGACGGTTATGCTCAACAAAGAAGCGAAGAGGCGACGTAAAATCAATCCGGACGACAATGTCGTTGGACCAACTGAAGAGAAAAAACTCGACTGGAAGAAGGTGGGAAGCATCATGGGCCGTCCATACAAGATGCTTGTTTGCGAGCCCATTGTTGGGTTCTTATCGTTGCTGAGTGGGTTCAGCGATGCACTCATCTTCAGCTTCCTGGAGTCATATGGCTATGTGTTTGGTGAGAGCGGATGGGGATTTACACCCAGCAAGCTTGGACTTGCGCTATTTGCTCTCTTTATTGGCTATTGGCTAGCAGGAGTGATATATTTCCCTATCATTAGACGTCACAACCAGTTGCGTACAAAGGGCACGGTACTCAGCCCTGAGAGTCGACTCTCAGCTCTCCGCTGGGTGGTGTTGCTGTTACCGATCGGCTTGTTTGGATCAGCTTTCGTCGTCACGGGGCCGCCTCTTCCATGGATCGCACCGCTCATCTTCGCAGTACTCATCGGCTGTGCCAACCTTGCAATCTATTTTGCCACAATCGACTACATGGTGGCCGCCTACGGTGGAGAGTATTCTGCTTCGGCCACCGGCGGCAATGGTTTCGCTAGAGACGTTCTCGCTGGTATTTGTTCTTTCTACACCGGCCCAATGTACAAGAAACTTGGCGTCCAAAACTCTACGTGGGTACTTTTTGCAGTTTCTGCAGGCGTCTGTATACCAATGTTTTGGATCTACAAATGGGGACCTCGGATCAGAGCTCGCAGCAAGTATGCCGAAAAGATTCAGGAAGAGCGTGAGAAGAATGCCGCGGCTAAGGAAGCAATGCAGTCCAGGCGGGAGGCTCTGCTCCAGATAAACCAGGTACAAGTATAGAAGAGGAGAGTAGAGATGCGATACATGATCAGGAGGCGACCAGGCGTCGCCAATTGACTTCGCGACACGCGACATACATGTCTTTTGTTTTTGTACTGATTGAAAGTGCACCAATACCTATCGGATGTCCAAAGAAGATGATACTGGGGAAGTAAATATGTTGCGGGCTTGAATGGCTCAAGAAGTCATTCGATGTATAGCGGGATCAGGCTATGTACGAAGCGAAGAAGCAGTCAGCATTAGGCATGACGACTACTCCAATAGAGCATCAAATGTACAATGAGGATCAAAATCATAGTGCATAGAGAGTGAGCAGATGTGTGAGAACCTAGAAGTGGGAGCAGCAGAGTGACTGGTTAAGGTAATGAGGGGAGCATATCGTTAGCGCGTCACGTGACAGCGCGTCCGCCTGTTCACATGTCGTGCCATGCCAGACGAGAAAGAGCGTAGGCGTACCATGAAAGCCAGGATGCGCAACACACCAGATACATCGCCGCCCGACCGTTAGTAATCCGCTTCGCCGTAGCCCACAACCATGTGGTTCCTGGAACACGAGAGTCTTTTTGGAGGGAAGCGCGTGTGGCTGCGCCCGGGATCGCAGCAGCTCTTCGGTCGAACTAGGGCGGCCGATCAGGATGGCCCACAGGGAAGGAATTGGAAGATTGACAACAAGGCTGTGTCGAGAAAGCATGTTATGCTCAAAGTTTATGAGGTGGTACCAGAGGACGGGACCAAGCTTCACAAACGGTCACAGATTGAGGTTACTGACCTCAGCTGCCGTCAAGGAACTACAATCGATGAGAAGACAACACTGAAGAGCCAAAAGGCAGATGATGGAACGGTGACCTACAGTAGCGAGATACTGAAAGGAACAGAGCACACGATTCGATTAGCCCAAGGCTATGCGCCGTTCAAAATTGTCTGGCGTCCGGTTGTGTTCACCTATGCGTCGAAGGAGTCAAGGGACGGCAAAGTACGTAGTACGCAATTGCACTCCCTAGACATCAAGACCACGACAGAATTTGTGTTCGACAAGACAACCCATGTTGTATCAGCGAAGCGAAATTTACCCAAGGTTCTCTCCGGTCTAACGTCCGGCAAGCACATAGTTACTGTCGAATTTCTCGAAGCGGTTCTCCGTGTTGCAGCCGCATCAGTCGATGAAGAACAAAATTATATACCATCTCAATTGGAAGAGGACTTTGACACATGGTGGCCGGCTGAGAAGGACTATGTACCAGCAGCAGGAGCAGAGCCAGTAGCTCGCCCGCAGGAGATGCTACTTCCTGATGTTTCAAGATCAGAAGTTTTCTCAGGCCTAACATTTGTTTTCTTGAATGAAGGCCAATACAGTAGCTTGCTTGACCCAGTCACTGGTGGAGGCGGCAAGGCATTACTTTACAATATCCGGCCAGGCGAGACAACTGTCGAGGAATACGTCGATTACGTTCACAGCGTTGCAGGCAAGAAACGGCGTGGAAAAAGTGACGAGAAGCTTCCAGTTATAACAGTACGGTTACCAACCTATCCTGATGCAATGGAAGAATGGGCTGCAAGCTTTGTTACTGGAGCTGATCAAGCACTTGGTCAACGCTCCATCTTACAAAACGAGTTTCTCGATGTGATTATCACAAAGGACCGCACTCAACTCCAACGGCCACCCGCTGAAGTTATCGAAGTGCCTTCTAGTGACCCTGTACCAGACTCAGCTCCAACTCGACGTTCCACGCGCGCCCGAACTCCAATGTCTAGGTCAGGGACACCTTCACAATCCCGAGAAGGGAGTGCAGCTCCAGCAGAAGAACCCACAAAGGTGGTTCCGCGAAAGCGCATAAGTAGGTCCAAGACCAGCCGCTTCACCGGTTTCGATGATGACGAACCGATCCCGAAGAAGAAGCTTAAAGTGGAAACCATACCAGAGGAGAATGTGCAGCAGGTCGCTGCCTCAGGGTCATCAGTTGCAACTCCACAGACACAAACTGGTCCCAGTACGCAGAACCAAGCCTCTCTACCATTACATATTCAAGACAGCGTCGAAAAGGAGGAACAGATGGATACGCTGTTTCCCACGGCCGCAAAGATGAGAAAACAGCGAGCAGCTACTCGTGCTCCATCAGCTTCGGTGGAGCCTGAAGCAGGTGGACCTGTACAAAAGTCAAACACTAAAGGCGTAGATGCATTGGCACGACTCAATAAGGCTAAGGCCAAAGCAGAGAAAGAGATCAATGTCCGTGAGCACACGCGTCAACGGATTAAGGAAGAGGAAGAGCGACGCAAAGCAGACGAAGAAAACCTTCGAGAAGCGCTTCAAGGCATTGATATCTCTGAACTCAAGAACCTAGCACAGATAGAGGAAATGGACGTCCTGCCACGACAAAGCAGAAGCAACCCGCACAACCAGAGCAGAACAGGCAGCGACCGCTGGAATCCCGAATGGAACGGCCGCAAGAACTTCAAGCGCTTCCGTCGTCGCGGCGCCGAACAAGGCGTGCAAGGCCATAAAGTCCTCGTCACGCTCGAAGAGGCCCCGCCAAAGAAAGGCTTCGGTATCGGTGACGCCTTCTTCCTCGAAGACGTGGAACCCTCATCGCGCTCGCACCACAGCCGCCGCGGCACACAAGCCGACGACGACGACGACGAGGCCTCTGAACCAGAAGTCGGTGGCTTCGCTCGACGCAAGCATAGCACGCAGACGCAGACACCGCGGGAAGTCATTAATGTCGAGGATAGCGGGCCTGACGACGAAGAAGTGGTGCCTACAGGGCGGACGCAGAGGAGTAGCGGACGGACGCAGCGAGTTGTCGAAACGCAGCTCGAGGGTACGCAGACGCAGAGTAGTAGGAAGAGGGGATCTGGAGCTGCGAGCGGGCCGCCTGCCAAGAAAGGTAGGTTTGGAAGGAGAGATGATGATAGCGATGATGAGGAGACGGGGTTTAGGTTCAAGCGGAGGGGATAAGTCTTGTTTCGCGTGGAAAGGGAAGTATGGTTAGAAATAAGGAGTGTCTGTGTGCTTTCCTGTGTTCTGCAAAAAAGCATGATACCCAGATAGGTTATTTACTTCAGTAGCGAAATCGCATTCATCGCATTGTCACGGTTGAGGGGGAAAACGGTGGTGTAAATGTCAAAAAGCGTAAATTCGTATCGTCTAGATAGACGATGAGATAGTAGGCGTCCCAAAGCCCTCCACCGAAGGAGCGAAACGAGGAAATTTAAAACCCGCATGACCATGACCACATGCTCTCTGCCCCGGTGTTGTGTCGTGCTGCGTACTACGCAGGTCGCACTTCCCATAGACTAACATCCATGTCTCTACGGCTCACTGCAATGTTTCTGTCTCTTGTTTGTTTTTCTCCCACCCGAAACGGCTCAGCGTCTCATTTCTTTCTTGTCCGTCGCCACAAGGGTCGCTTTCATTCTTCGACTACCAAGCTCTCGTGCTCAGTGTGTACATATCGGAAAGGGCGAATTTATCGCTTGCGCTCAAAGTACGAGCTGGCACCGAAAAGGGCGACGCTCTGGTCCATGACGGTCTCACCGACCCAAAGGTAGTTTTCAAACCACTTGAGGGCGCTGGGGTTTTCGCTGAAGGAATCTGGCTTTAAACTGGGTCTGGGGTTTAGCTTTAGCTCCAGACTTGTATCAATGTCGCAAAATCTTGTTGAGCATATTGCTCGGGCTGGGTAGTTGTTGTATGTGTGGTGGTTGTGCCTGGGAAGGACAGAGAATGGGGACAACGTACGTGAGGCCGGTTGAGCGCCGGACGCCAGCCAGGAAAGCGGAGACTGTGACATGGTTAGTGATGTTGTTTTTGGAATAGGCATGTTTTCTGTGTACGTACTAAGTACCGCATCAAAGGCGTAATGTGCGACTTTGCCGAGCTGGAGGGTGTGTAAGCTACTGAAGATGCGACTCGGCGGCCCGACAGGCGCGGATCCGGAGCAGGCAACCTACGACCATTGTGGAGGGTATGGGGCGAAGCGGAGTTGTGTCTGGGGGAGATGTTTGGCGATCACTGTACCAAAAAGTGTGGCGGGTATGGGTGTTGTCGCGGGTGGCGGTTGTTGAGTGGTGGAAGGATGCGGTGTAGAGCGATTAGGTAGAAGTGGTGGTGGGGAGACGTGTGGCTGGTGCCGTGGTTAGTCACTCTCCCTGCATGTGATTCAGCTGGCACGCAGCATGCGCGACTTGAGTAGGCTTCCCGCGCCGTTACATGTTGATCTGGACCACGGCAAGAGATTAGAGCACTCTGTGGTATTTGCACACCCAGACACAGCCCATGTACCTGCAGAGTGACAATCCGTGAATCGCTTACAACAGGCCATTCGCACATACTGTACTTCAGGTACAACCTCGGGACACGCGGCGGCGGCCGTGATTGTACCCACTGATATGGAACTCCAGGATACCCACGTCCCAGTGGCAGGTGGACAGCGATTGAACCTCGGGCACCACGGCCATGCGGAGCACCTACGGGTGATCTAGGAGCGGGCCATTCTACAAGCAGGTGATATATAACTAGGCCGTCCTCAACGTGGTGAAGCCCCTTCAGGGCTCTTTTTTTTCCATGACCTTGACCCCATGAGACCCCCAAGGCACCATGCATCTCTACGCGGGCACAAGCACTGAAGAAAAAAATATGCCATGACACGCCAGCATCCGGCCGCGCACCGATACATAAACTCAAATGGCCACTAGCTAGACTGCGGAGACGAGACACCGGAATTCGGACACCGGACGGGGACACCGGAATGCGGCGCCGCGATTTGCAACGGCCCTGAGCAGCAGGTTGCGTCTGTACGTACAGGGCCTTATCGGAGTGGGATGCTTTGAGTGCAAATGACGCCGCAACGTGGGTGGTTTCGAACAAGCAATGGGCGAAGAGGGTCACCACCACCACGGGGGCAGGTCAGAAATGCCGTCAGCAGGCCAGTCAGCGGAACTGGAGTGGCGCTATCAAGCCCACATTTTTTGCTCCCAGGCCCAGTTCTCCATCGCAATCCGTTTCCAATTGTTATATCCAAACGTGCCGTCGCTCAGGGTGCAGCCCCACGTACTAAGCACCTACACTAGCGCCAAAACTACTGCCCCTCCAAAACACGCTCAACAGCCAACAAAACTTCTAGCCCGCGCCTGCACAAGATAAACTCGTCGAGCGCCGTTGTCTTCGTAGCCAGCTCGCTCACCTTCTCCTCTTCCTTCTCTACTCTGCAGCCACCACATTGCCAAGTGGACTGTCTGTATACTGCTCCTACCGGCCCCGCACTCCGCTACAGCGATATAACTTCGCTCACAGCCCTCCCTTTCCCTCCTTCTCCCTCCCCATTCACACACTACTAGACGTAGAAAATGGCAAACGCGTACGTATACTTCATTCACACACCGCAGGCTTCTTGTTTGTAGCAGATGTGGTCGGCCCAAGTCCACGCATGTCTGCGCAGATAAAACAGCTCCGCGGGGGAGGAAAAGTGTCCAACTTGGCTCTGTACCAAGTTCTTGACTTACCTTCCTGTTCCATGATGATCAGTTCACCCATAGACGGTGTCATTGGATCTGCAGCTTTGCAGCAACAACCGCGCGCCATGGGCATGTCGGGACTATATTCCCTCCGGAGCATTCACTGACCCCGAATGTAGTCTAGACCACCTCAACTCCGGCAGGACCAGGATCGAGTGGCTCAGCCAGCTCAACACTGAGTACACCCCTGCTAAGCAGTACCGACGAACCTCCATCATCTGTACCATTGGTCCCAAGACCAACTCTGCTGAGAAGATCAATGCTCTCCGCAAAGTCGGTCTCAATGTCGTCCGCATGAACTTCTCCCACGGCTCGTACGAGTACCACCAGTCCGTCATTGACCATGCGCGCGAAGCCGAGAAGTCACAGCCTGGCAGGCCGCTTGCCATTGCCCTCGACACCAAGGGCCCCGAGATCCGAACGGGTAACACCGTGGGCGATGCTGATATCCCCATCAAGGCCGGTGCCATCATAAACATCACTACCGATGAACAATACGCCACTGCCTGCGACGACAAGAACATGTACGTCGACTACAAGAACATCACCAAGGTGATTGAGGCTGGCCGCACAATCTACGTCGACGATGGTGTCCTCTCATTTGAGGTCCTCGAGATCGTAGACGACAAGACGCTCAAGTGCAAGTGCGTCAACAACGGCAAGATCTCGTCAAGGAAGGGTGTCAACCTGCCCAAGACCGATATTGATCTTCCCCCGCTCTCAGAGAAGGACAAGGCCGATCTCAAGTTTGGTGTCAAGAACAAGGTCGACATGGTCTTTGCGTCCTTTATCCGCCGCGGCAGCGACATCACCGCCATCCGTGAGGTGCTCGGTGAGGAGGGCAAGGACATCCAAATCATTGCCAAGGTCGAGAACCAGCAGGGTGTAAACAACTTTGACGAGATTCTGCGAGAGACTGACGGTGTCATGGTTGCTCGTGGTGACCTTGGTATCGAGATCCCACCCAGCCAGGTCTTCATTGCACAGAAGATGATGATCACCAAGTGCAACATTGCCGGCAAGCCTGTCATCTGCGCCACTCAGATGCTCGAGTCCATGACCTACAACCCACGCCCAACTCGTGCCGAGGTCAGCGACGTTGGTAATGCTGTCCTCGATGGCGCTGACTGCGTCATGTTGTCTGGCGAGACTGCAAAGGGTGATTACCCCGTAGAGGCCGTTACCATGATGCACGAGACGTGCTTGCTCGCTGAAGTCGCTATTCCATATGTCAATGCATTCGACGAGCTGCGAAAGCTTGCTCCAGTGCCATGCCCAACCACTGAGACATGCGCCATGGCCGCCGTCAGCGCTAGTCTTGAGCAGAATGCCGGTGCTATTCTGGTTCTGACGACTAGGTGAGTGGCCCAAAGGCCTGTATACCGATGAATTCTAACAAATGTCAGTGGTACGACCGCCCGCCTCGTCTCCAAGTACAGGCCTGTTTGCCCCATCATCATGGTTACCCGTAACGCGATGGCCGCCAGGGTAAGTTGATGCAAAATACGACAAGTGTAATAGTCACTAATTTGTGTAGTATTCACACCTCTACCGCGGCGTTTACCCATTCTATTTCCCCGAGGCGAAGCCAGACTTCAAGACGGAGCCATGGCAGGAGGACGTTGACCGCCGGCTGAAGTGGGGCATCATGAACGCCATCAAGCTCGGAGTGCTCAGCAAGGGTGATCCCGTTGTTTGCGTGCAAGGTTGGAGGGGAGGCATGGGACACACGAACACGCTCCGCATTGTCCCGGCGCAGGAAGATTTGGGCCTTGACCAAGACGCGTAAGGGTACCGCGGGAGCGGAGACGTTCTATTTATTGATAGAAGGGGGCGTGTGTATGTGGAGAGAGAGAGGGCTGCACAAGATGCACATACATGACTCGCCTGACCAAATGACGGTCTGGCGCATGAACCGCAAGATTCGATGTAGACACTAGCGGATAGTAGGCAAACTCTGAATGAACACCTTACACTTCCATCAAAGGCAGGCCCGGGGAACGGCCAGCATGTGCTGAAACCCAACAAAGACTAGAGCGACACCCAAGGCAACGGCTTTGGACCGCGCAGCCAGGGTCACTTTGCTCCTGGGGGCCGTGCGCTAGCAACACTAGCCTCCTGGTACACGATGGTGAGTACATTGACCGACGCACAACCCTACCACACCCTCCATGGATATATCTGCGCTAGTGAATCATGATGGAGACGCAACGGTGCTACCGCGCCGTTCGCTCTCCATCCCCCATTCCACCGCGACCTCTTCTCCCGTCACATTTGCTGCAAAGATACCTTCGCCGCCGCCTAAAACCAAGTTCAAGCAGATGTCGCTCAAGCGCAAACGCCACGATCCAAAGCCAATATGGGCTTATCGCGAGGGTGAGGAGCTCCCCCCCGAACTGAAGCAGCTCGTAGAGCAGCAGCGCCAGCAGTCGCGTCCGCCGCCGACTGTCGCTCAACCCCAGCCGCACGCGCAGCCTCCGCCCCAGGCTCACCCCCAACCGCGACCCCAACCGTCGCCAATGGTTGAGCGAAACGGACATCCATCATCAGAGAAAGGCGCTCCTCCTCCAGGCACAGCGGTGCGCGAACTCTCTGGCTTCGAGCGACCCATCTCCAACGACGCACAAATCTACGATGACGTGTCACGCAACGTATGCGATTTTATATGGAACACGGCCGTCAACAATGAAGTTGTGCGGAGCGCGATCGCGGATCCAAAAGTGCAGCTCGAAGTGGAAGCGCGCTGGGGTCAGATCATTGACAAGCAGACGGACCAGCGACTGCGTGGATTTTGGCGCACAGAGACGGTTTTGAATACCGATGTTTTGGAAGTCAAGTTTGAGAGTACCATGACGGCGCAACAACACAAGCGCATGAACCTCTTTCTGAACGCTCAGGTTCAGCAATCAAAGGCTCCAGGAGTCCCACGACCTCCAATCGATTACCGACACACCTATGAGACGGACATGTTCTACGAACTAGACCAGCAAGGCTTCAGCTCTTTGAATCCCATTGTTCAGCGTTTAATAAGCACTGCTGGTGGCCGACAGCGTGTTCGTGTGACACGCGACAAAAACTCGGGCGAGTTCTTGCGTGCGATTATAAAGCACAGGCTAGGCAACCTCGAAGTCAGCTCTCCAAAGACCGAGTGGGACTACCGCATTGGCATCAACTTGGAAATTGACTTCCCAGGTCCTATAGAAAGTCTCACGCCTGCCGTGGAGGGTGGAAAGACGGCCGAGGGCATGCACCGCCAAAAGGACCGCATGTCATACTCGTGGCTAGGTGCTTATCAGGTTGATCTCACACAGGTTTCTCAAGGGCCCAGCAAGAACCACGAACTGGAACTGGAACTAGACTCTGGTGTGCTCATAGCAGAAGCAGACAAGGTGAGACGAAAGGAGCCCACCAAATTCGAGAGCCTGATCAACGGGATGATGAACAACCTGCGGGTGTTGTCGCGTGAGATTACGGTTTCTGGTCCTGGCCCCAGTGCATAGGGGCATGGACGAGTGTATGGATGTACTGTAATACTATTGTTGTTCGTATACGGCGTTTGGAAGGTTCAACGCGAAACAGCAAATTTGGGATCAGCATCGCCAGGAGTTTGTGTTTCGAAAATAAGATACCCGTTTCTCACTATTTACTTCGCATCATATGGCTTCCACTTGCTCCTTTCACTCTGTGCCTGTGACTAATATTCAGGGGCAAGTATGCAGCTTTACTAGCTATGCCAGCTGTGCGAGTCCTGTATTATTTGCAAAAATTTTATTCTTAATGGTCACACAAACTCCTTTTCTATGAAGAGTCACACATCGCAAGTGAGGCGCACGCCATGGATCTTATCGTGGGAGTGATGTGCAGGCTAGCGTATTATGTCATGTCGAAGTGGACCAGGGTCGCCGCTTCCGAGACTCACGAGCTGTGTTTAGACCATCACGTACACGGTTCCCCGAACTCACCACCACGGCGCCTCGCCATCCCCATCAATCTCTCCTCAATCTCACATCTTTGTCCCTCATTCACTGCAGCGGTCACGCTCAAGTCCGAAGCATCACGGTCCCCCCGTGTCCTCTGATCGCAGGCAAGCCCGCAGGCGCCACTGCGCAGCTCCATCGCCTTCTACCCATTTCCGCAACAGCTCCTTCTCTCCTCAACACCGCGGGCAACCGTTTCACAACACCGAAACACGCATTATCCTCGCTCAGCACAACACAATGGTCGGTCTTACATCTGCCGCCGGCGTTGTTGGCTTCCTCTCCGAACCGGATCCAGCGCTGCGCTCGTTCGCCCTCCAGCGGCTGAACGAGGAGATCGACCTGCTATGGCCAGAAGTCGCGGGCTCCGTCAGTCAAATGTAAGAAGCTCAGATATGCACTGCACACATTACTTGGGTAATTCCCGTTATCGTACAGCTACTAATACGGATGCCGTCACAGTGAGGCCCTCTACGAAGATGAGTCGTTTCCCGAGCGCGAGCTTGCAGCCCTGGTAGCAGCAAAGGTGTACTACCAGCTGCAAGAGTACAATGAGAGCATGGTCTTCGCGCTGGGTGCGGGCAAGCTCTTCGACATCCACAAGGCTGCCGAGTTCGAGGAGACAATACTAGGTAGGATACCACGGTCCTTTGTGTCTATCTTCACATATACACCCTTTCCCTTTCTTGTTGAGGCATTGGACTCGTCATCACTTGGAGAACATATTCTGACTTGCTTTTTGTAGCAAAATGCTTAGATACGTACATCGCGCTCTCAGTCATGCACAACCCGCCGACACCGGTGAGCAAGGCGAGCCAGGCCCCTCCACAGCTGAGCACGTCGTTTTCTGGAAGCGCTGCTGGCGGTGCCAGTACTTCAGCTAGCCTGGCATCGCCCATCACACCCTTCTCTCAGTCCGCGTTACCATCAAAGTCGCTCCTTTCCAGGGAGGACTCGTCTACATTTGACCCCACTGTCCCCGGTGGGGGCAATGCTGGTGTCGCTGGAGCACACCCTACTCCGATGGTGCTGCAGCGAAATGTGCAGAAGAACCTCCACAGCACTGTAAGGAGGATATTCGAGAGCTGCTACGAGAGCGGCAACTATAAGCAGGTTGTCGGGATCGCCATTGAGGCTCGGAATCTTGAGGTCTTGCGCGAAGCTATTGTGCGCGCAAGCCAAGAGGGAAAGAAGCAGGGAAAGAAGCCTGCACAACCGTCTGCACAGAGCGAGGATTTGATGGAATATGTTCTCGACATTTGCATGAACGTGGTACAAGAGCGTGGCCTGAGAAACGAGATTCTTCGCATGATTCTGGATCTCCTCAACGATGATCAGATACCGAACCCTGATTACTTCTCCATTGCCAAATGCGTTGTCTACCTCAACCAACATGCCCTCGCCTCGAAACTCATTCGCCAGCTCATTGAGCGCGGCGACGACAAGTCACGAGCTGTCGCATACCAGATTTCCTTTGACCTTTACGAGAACGGTACACAAGAGTTTTTGAGCAAGGTCATGGAAGAGCTCCCTGCTGAGAAAGAGGAAGAGACCGAGAAGCCCCAGTCGACAGAAGCAGGTGAATCAGATTCTCTCCTCGCAAATGCCGACACTAGCAATGTCTCGGGCTCTAAAGACTCTGAATCGACCGAAGACCAACTCAAGTCTTTCAACTCTGTCCGCCATATCCTTCGTGGAACAAAGAGCATCGAACTGAACCTCGAATTCCTGTACAGGAACAACCGCACAGACAAGGCTATTCTGAACAAGGTTCGCGACAGCTTGGAGGCTAGGAACTCCATCTTCCACTCTAGTGTCACCTTTGCAAATGCTTTCATGAACGCAGGCACCACCAACGACACATTCTTCCGGGAGAACCTGGAATGGCTAGGAAAGGCAGTCAACTGGTCAAAGTTCTCGGCGACCGCTGCTCTGGGTGTCATACACCGTGGCAACATTACTCAAGGACAGAAACTCCTCGAGCCATACCTACCCAAGGACAGCGTTTCGTCGGGCTCTCACTACGAGCAAGGTGGATCACTGTATGCCCTTGGTTTGATCTACGCCAATCACGGAAGTAACGTTCTTGACTTGCTCCTGAAGCAGTTCCAGAATGCGTCTGAGGAAGTCATTCAGCACGGTGGTGCACTCGGTCTTGGCGTCGCAGGTATGGCCACGGGCTCTGAGGAGATTTTCGAAGCGTTCAAGAACGTACTTTACACCGATTCCGCTATCAACGGTGAGGCCGTCGGTCTCTCCATGGGTCTTGTCATGCTCGGCACAGGCAACATCAAGGCACTTGAGGACATGATCCAGTATGCACACGACACACAGCACGAGAAGATTGTCCGAGGTTTGGCTATGGGTATGGCACTCATCATGTATGGCCGACAAGAGGCTGCCGATGAGCTCATCAACGGTCTCCTCGATGACCCAGACCCAACTCTACGCTACGGAGGTATCATGACCATTGCATTGGCATACTGCGGTACGGGTAGCAACAAGGCTGTCCGAAGGCTGTTGCACGTTGCGGTCAGTGACGTGAGCGACGATGTACGACGCGTGGCAGTAATGAGCTTGGGCTTCATCTTGTTTCGGAAGCCAGGTAGCGTTCCTCGCATGGTTGAACTCCTTGCCGAGTCGTACAACCCCCACGTCCGTTATGGAGCGACAATGGCTCTCGGTATCGCTTGTGCCGGAACCGGACTCCCTGAGGCAGTTGATTTGCTTGAGCCCATGATGAAGGACTCGACCGATTTCGTTCGCCAGGGTGCTTTGATCTCGCTGTCCATGATCATGGTGCAGCAAAACGAGGCAATGAACCCCAAGGTCGCGTCAATCCGCAAGCAGTTGGCCAAGGTCATCGGTGACCGTCACGAGGACGCCATGGCCAAGTTCGGTTGCGCTCTTGCCCTCGGTATCATTGATGCTGGAGGCCGAAACTGCACAATCGGCCTGCAGACGCCGACTGGTAACCTGAACATGACTGCCATTGTTGGTATGGCTGTCTTCACTCAGTACTGGTACTGGTTCCCTTTGACGCACTTCTTGTCTCTCAGCTTCACGCCTACTGCCGTCATTGGCCTGGACCAGGAGCTTGAGATCCCATCGTTCAAGTTCCACAGCAACACACGGCCGAGCATGTTTGACTACCCGCCTGATGCTGAAGTCAAGGCAGAGGAGGCGCCAGAGAAGATCAAGACAGCAGTCTTGTCAACCACAGCCCAAGACAAGCGACGGCGGATGGTTAAGGAGCGCCAAAAGCGAAGAGAAAGCATGGATGTCGACCATACTCCTGCCACACCAAAGCCATCGGGTGACGACGACAAGATGGATGTCGATGAGGACTCGAAGAAGGAAGACGGAGACAAGGCCGAGGGAGCGCAGGCCGTAGAGTCATCGTCGAAGAAGAAGGCAGAGAAGGAAAAGGTGGGCTACGAGCTGGAGAACATGTCGCGTGTGCTTCCGCCACAAATCAAGTACATTAGCTTCCCAAGCGAACGATATGTACCAGTAAAGAAGGTGAGTGGCGTACAAGCTATACTGGATGAAGTAGCCAAGCTAACACATGAGCAGCCAACTCTTGGTGTGATTCTTCTTACAGACACCAAGCCTTCGGAACCGAAGACGCTCCTTGAGCTCAAGGTAAAGAAGGCTGCGCCTGCACCTGCTCCTGGAGCATCGGGATCCTCTGGCGAACACGCACCAGAAGGCGTATCAGTAACAACAGCTGCAGCGCCGGTCAATGACAACATGGTCTACGAGGGCGAGGCGGAGGCATCAACCCCGAGCGAGTTTGTCTACGAATCGGACACTAATCCAGATGATGATGAGTAGGCGGCTAGAGCAAGGATAGAGAAATAGCGTGTTTGTAGAAGATGGGCGCTTATTGATGCGGTGCGTGGGATTGGAGGAGAGCAGGGATTGTATTCATGATGGGCTGCAGGGAGGCTTGTAGAGTCACCTTTCCCCAAAGCCCCGTAGTTTAGACGCAGGATACATGTATAATAGCCACAAGGTTGTTCTATCTAAGTGTGATGTGTGTGTGTGTGGCTCGACGTGTCTCATGTTCATAGACGGTATGCAAGCTGGCAGGACTAGTGGCTTCTAGAATTAACCCGAGATCCTGGATGGTGTAATTCGGCGCAAAGTGCAGTAGGTACAGGTGACCACACGGCAAGCAGATCTTCGGCATCTTGGGCGTGTCTAATGGTACGGTCGGGGGTATAAACACGACCGTTATGGTGGGGCACCAATATGCGTATATTCATACTGTAGGCGCGGTGGCAACGGGTGTGGATACGGGCATGAAGCGGCAGTTGCACATGCACCAAGTAGATGCGGACGTAATTTCGTCACAGAAGCAAGGTATTCGCTCATAGATGCCTAGTAAGATTTTGTGTAACAGAGGGCTCTGAATACGAATAGTATACATTTGTGTATACGGGAAGTACTTACATGGGTCTAGCTTCCCCGGATTCCTCGGACCGCTAGCTCGGGGACTAGAGCCGAAAACGGCTTGACGCAATGTTCTACGTTAGAAACCCATGTTTCCCCATTCCAAGTGGCGGCACTCTTGCATCGCGCAATCGGATATGCGCGATGCTCTCTGGCTGCCGTCTCACAAATGTGTATGTATGTACGTTCCATGCAAGCGACCTTCGGGAATCTCAAAGGGCTGACGAAAACGCGCGGACGAGCGTGCCGCGTCGAGCATATGGCAAGGGTTAGAAGCGACGAAGGATTGCGGCGTCAAACGCCAGGCGGCCCTGGATCACGGTCGCCTATGTGGTTGAGTGACTATGGTGGACATTTGGTCTTCCTACCATACTAGACCTTCCACCAACACGAGATGCGCCCCATCTCCACCAACGCTTTTCGCCCTGTGCAGTCAGAAACCGGGCTTTCTTTCCTTCTTTCCAACGGTCACGGCGAAGGGCTTGGCTGGGCTTTCTCCTCCTGTTCACACGCATCATCATCAGCATGGTTCCTCCAATCCAATTTGTTGTTGCCCGTTTTTTTCTTTCTAATTTACCCACGAAACACCCAATCATAGTCGTCCTGCGCCTACGGGTTACCTCGAAGCGACGCTGCATCTGTACAAATACCCGGTCATCATGCGGGCGCAGGCCCCGCGGAAACCCAACCAATCCACCCCCTTGCGCTGTGCAACCAAGCTGCTATTACCCAGTTCCCACCTTTTTGCCTGGCAAATCTGACATGTCTCACTGGGCTCGATTGGCTCTCTTTTACTTCATGGGGGAAGGGCCCGCTGGCGAAGTCACATATTCGAGAAAGTCTTGGACATGGGATCGCATGGGGGCTTGATTAAATTAAATTGACCCCTCCATTCCCTCCGCCGCCTTGCCGTAGTAATGCCAAAAACTCCACTTTAGTTAGCCACCCACGCCGCAGCCACATTCTACTCTCCACACGCGTGTTCCTGGCTTGTTTAATGGTGCTGGGGGGGGGGGGGTTAGTAAGGTCGGTTTGAGTTGGCGGGATTGATGTGCAGACCAATGCCCACACCCGTCCTCTACTAACTGTTTCCTCGGGAGCACACCATCACCAACGGGGCGGGCTTTTACTTTCCCTTTCTCTCTCTCTGTGTGTGTATGCCACACCTTTTGTTTGCTCCGACAATTACCTTCTCTCGTTTTCCTTCTCTTCTCCTCCCCCGGTACTGACCCCCACTGTGGGATTAGTAGTCGGGCAACATGGAGCATATTCACAAACGAGATGTGCATACTTCGCATACGGAGCGTAGTAGTAGCACCGTAGAGATTCGGCAGGTTCAGAACGTTGCTTTTGCCGATGCTACGGCAAAGGCTAATGTCAGGCCGTGGACAAAGGCTATGTTCAAGGTTGGTTCATTTTTTAGACACAAAGTTATTCTTTTCTATGTTAGATTATAACTTTTGCCCTTGCTAACTTATGACATTTAGTTGTATTTTTGCCTCTTTATCGCCACGCTCAACTCTTGCATCAACGGGTACGATGGATCGCTCATGGGCGCAATCAACAGCTACCACCAGTACCGCTCGTATTTTGGCTTCAATATCGATGAGGGTACACCGACTACTGGAATCGTTTACGCCATTTATACGATTGGCAACCTTGTCGGCTCGTTTGTAGCGGGCCCAGCTACGGATTTCCGAGGACGGAAATGGGGTATGTTTATAGGCACTTCGATTATCATTGTCGGTGCTTGTATTCAAGCAACATGTGTCAACCTTGGTGGCTTCATGGGCGGTCGTTTTATTCTGGGTTTCGGTGTCGCCATCACATCGACCGCCGGCCCGGCCTATGTATCTGAAATGGCCCATCCTTCCTACCGCGGCGTCTGCACCGGCATATTCAACACATTCTGGTATGTCGGCGGTATCCCCGGATCCTTCGTCCCTTACGGCACAAGCAACATCCCCGGCACGCAATCCTGGCGCATCCCCGTCTGGCTGCAACTCATCTTCGCGGGCATCGTCTTCTGCTGCTCGCCCTTCCTCCCGGAAACCCCCCGCTGGCTCATCGCCAACGACCGGCACGAGGAGGCCCTAAACACTATGGCACGCCTCCACGGCGAAGGCGACCGCGACTCGCCCATCGTCAAGCTCGAATATAAAGAAATGGTCGAAGACATCAGCGTCACGGGCTCCGACAAGCGTTGGTGGGACTACCGTGAACTCTTCAACTCGCGTGAGGCCCGCTACAGAACCATGCTCGTCCTTGCCATGGCGTTCTTCGGCCAGTGGTCCGGCAACGGTCCCGTCTCCTACTACTACCCTACCATGCTGCAAGGTGCTGGTATAAACAACAATCACACCCGTCTCCTGTACAACGGCATGCAAAACGTTGTTTCCTTCAGCGGCGCCATTTTCGGGGCCATCTACACGGATTCCTGGGGCAGACGGCCGCAGCTGCTCGTTTCGACAGCCATGCTTGTCTTCATCTTTGCAATCGTGTGCGCCCTTGTTGCGACGAATTTAAAAACGGGACCCGATGGCCAACCGGTCTACCTAGGCAATAATCGGACGCCTGAAATTAAGAGACCCGGTCAGGCTAAAGCGGTTATCGCGTTTGTCTTCATCTGTGGGTTCGTGTATAGTGTGGGCTACACGCCGTTGCAGCAATTGTACCCCGTAGAGTGTCTGCGGTATGAGTCTCGAGCGAAGGGCATGGCATTTTACAACTTTTGGGTCAATATTGCGAATTTCTATAATACGTTTGTGACGGGGATTGCGTTTTCGGGCGCGGGTTGGAAGGTATGTTTTTTTTTTCCTTCTTCTCCTCTGTTTCCTTCTTCCCTTTTCCCTTCTCATCACCACCCCCTTCCCCCACCAAAAAAAAACATTCGTCGAGTTGTACTGACGTACAACGAACAGTACTACCTCCTCTTCATCTTCTGGGACATCTTCGAATTTATCTTCATCTACTTCTTCTTCGTCGAAACACGGCGCCGCACCCTTGAGGAAATCAGCGACATCTTCAACGCTAAGAAACCCGTCAAACACTCCCTCAACAAAACTAGTATCCTCGTCCATGCAAATGGCCGCGGCGTCACCGAGATGGTGGATAAGGAGGAAAGAGTCGTCGAGCGCGACTTTGCGAATAGCGCGTTTGTAAGGCCGGGACAGGGGGCTGCGCAGCCTAGGGATAGTGGCGCGAGTGAGGGTAAGCTGATCTGGAGGGATGAGCTGAGGGATAAGGTTATGGATGTTGGGAGGGGCAGTGCGGAGAGCGATATGGCGAGGGAGGAGGCGCGGTATGCAGGAGGAGGTTTTGCGGGGAATGCGTGGAGGGAGGAGAGAGAGCCGTGGTATGCGTCTTCGCCCATGTCTTCACCGAGAAGTCCATAGCGTTTCCGTTTTTTTGTTCTTTTTATACATATACCAGAATGGGCTGGATTCGTTCCTGAATCTGTGTGCCTCCTTTTTTCTTTTCAACATGTAAATATGTACACACACTTTGTTCTGTATTATCATATGATTGTATGTCTCTCATCTTGCTTGAACAATGGCTTGATAGAACTACTGACCGCGTTTATCAATGAAGAATGAACAAAACGAAATCGGTTTTACCAACAAGTTAGTTCTTCCTATACTCTTTACCCTGTGAGAATCCACAAAACTCCACGCAATGCATCCCGTCTACAAAAAGGGGGGGTATCACACACGTTCAATCCATATCCTCTAGATCACCCTCTACCGCCTTGGGTACCTGCTCCTCGCTAACCATAATACCTACCATGCACTCGCCAAGCATATTCTCCCAATTGACCCACGGATGCACTTCCATGAACAACTTGGTCCCGTCTTTACCCGCCGCGCGACGCAGCTCGCCTTCTCCACCGGGATGAAACGGGAGGTAGGGCGAGATATTGTACACTTTTCCCTGATAGCACGACCACGCATCTTTGCCCTTGCGCCCATTCTTCTCCTTGAGCATGGCCGGTGTAACGCGAATCATGGAGTCGACGCCAGACAAGTTTTTGCCGGATTTCTGCAGGTGGGCCCAGTCGAGCGGCGAGTGACCTGGCGACAGGAGCACTTTGCCCCGTGCGTTTGGTGTCTTGATGGCGGGGCCTGCGCTTGGTGGGACTCCGAGACCTCCGTTTGAGGTGGGCGGGCCTCGATTCGGAAGCGGTCCGCGGTTCGGAAGAGGACCGGTGGTGGGTACGCGCATAGATTGTGACGATGTGGAGCTGGGGAGGGGACGTAGACTCGAGGCTGCGACCTTCGGTGGCGGCATGAGAGACGTAGTGGGTTTGGGAGGTGGCGCCATAAGGGTCGGCTTTTGAGGTGGAGGCATGGCGAATTGAGGAGGCGCTTGAGAGGCTCTTTGTGCCGAGTTCATAGCTGGAAATGAAGGTGGCGGCAAATTGTCTTCCTCCTCTTCATCCGAACTGTCGTGCTCGTTGAGCGTGAAGGAGGGTACTGGAGGTGCTTTATCGTCTGATTTCGGCATAGCCTTTGGCGTAGACTCGAGAGATGAGCTTTTGTCAATCCCATCAACTGCCTCATTGTTCGATGGAGACTTGAGCTCTATGCGCTCCTCCCTGGCCGGGGTGGGGCCTTCTTTGTTGCCATTCTGCGACTTATCGGGTATCGTGCTCGCTCCTGGTCGGCTGAGGCGAGTGATAAAGGCAAGCCATGTCGAGGGTGGGCGCTGGTAAACAAGAAAAGAAAGCGACAAGGCAAAAATGGAGAGAGCAACGAGCATGTCTTTGATGTAAAGAGCGAAGGGGTGACTCGGCCCCGGAGAATTAGGAAGAAGAGAGCCAGCGCCGAGGCTTAATGCGCATTCAGGGTTTGTAGGGCTGAACAAGATTGCGCTAACCGCCGATGACTTCACGCGCCGCATGATGACAGCAATCGGAGCAATCAATGTCAAAGGGAAAGTAACTTTTTTTTCTGTGGACACAGTGAAGGCGATCGCACTGGGAAACTACATAACACTCTGTCGCCGCTTGCTTCTCGCCATTCCAACTACATGTTTGCAATTATCTGACCCACCCGACGCGCTACTCAACTGTTCTACATAGAAACCCGCGCCTGCCCCACCACCCCTCCATTGACTGCTATCGGAAGCCACGACCGGACGCTGCAATTCACCCTGAGGCTCTAATCCCGGCGCAACTCAATGGCGGCCGAACCAGCAACCCTGCCTGAGGGCATCTTCTCCCTCCTGGACACGGATCTATACAAGCTGACTATGCAATGTTGCATATTGAAGTTCTTCCCTGATGTCGCAGTCACATATGGTTTCACCAACCGCACGCCAGACAAGAAACTCAGTCGCGCAGCCTTCAAGTGGCTGCAGGCCCAAGTAGATAGTTTGTATAGTCACTTCCATAGACATGCGCGTGCTAACCCTTTGTAGAGCTTGAGAATGTGTCCGTTTCCGACGAAGAGCTCAAATTTTTGAAAGATAGCTGCCCCTACCTAAACGCGCAATACCTGCATTTCCTCTCTACCTTTCGCCTGAAACCCTCGAAACAGCTTAGACTATCCTTTACGCCCGTGAATGACACCGGCTCGGACAGCGATTACGGCGACTTCCATATTCATACTGAAGGCCTATGGCTCGACACCATCTTGTACGAGATTCTACTATTGGCGCTTGTGAGCGAGGCATACTTCAAATTTGTTGAAACAGACTGGAACCACGAGGGCCAAGTCGACAAGGCATACCAGAAGGGAAAGGCGCTGCTAGAAGGAGGCTGCATCTTTTCAGAGTTTGGCTCGAGGAGGCGGCGAGACTACCACACCCAAGATTTGGTACTGCAGGGTTTGCGCCGGGCAGCTGACGAGGGTGCCAAACTAGGGTGGAAGGGCAAACTATCGGGGACCAGCAATGTTCACTTTGCCATGAAACACGGGCTCGTCCCTGTCGGCACTGTTGCGCACGAGTGGTTCATGGGCGTGGCTGCTATCACAAACAACTACGAGAAAGCAAACGAGATTGCTCTCGAGTATTGGACCGCTACTTTCGGAGCTGGTGTATTGAGCATTGCGCTTACAGACACCTTTGGTACACCAGCGTTCCTGAGAGCCTTTAAGGCGCACATTCCTCGCATTACAACGGCTGTGCCTGGAGGCAGTACAACACTGCCATCATCAGGGAACACAACCACAAGCGATGCGGTGGAAACCTTGGCTTCGACAAACCCACCTATCCAGGCACCATACGATGGAGATGCAGCCTCGGAGAAGACATATGCTCAAGTCTTCAACGGCGTGCGCCAAGATTCTGGCGATCCCCTAGAATTCATCAAGCTGATGCGTGAATTTTACGACAAAGAGGGTATCAAGGACAAGAAGACGATTGTTTTTTCTGACTCTCTCAACCTCGAACTTTGCTTCAAGTACAAGGCCGCAGCAGAGGAGCAAGGGTTCCAGCCAACCTTTGGCGTAGGCACATTCTTAACGAGTATGTATGAAAGGAGCCATGGAAGCTGGACGGATGACTGACGAGAACAGATGATTTTGTCGAAACATCCACAGGGAAGAAGTCTGTACCCTTGAATATTGTTATCAAGATTGCCTCTGCGCAGGGCCGTCATGCAGTTAAGATTAGTGATAATATTGGTAAGAATACGGGAGATCAGGCAACGGTGGATGAGGTCAAGCAGCGTCTTGGATACCAAGAGAAATCATGGGTTGGCGGTGATGAGCGGACACGGTGGGGGAGTGTAAAGTAGAGAGACAACTAGCGATATTGGGTAAGGTAGTCGGTCTTCTTGTGTGGTTTGGCAAATATAAGTGGTCGACCCGCGGAGGACGTTACTAGGGTGTTGGCCACTCTCCAGTCTTAGTTGATATAGAGAAAGACTTTGAGGAAAGATTACAGTTGGCTAGGCGCACACGGACTTAACGTTTCGTGAAACACTCGCAAGAGATACCGCAAAGGTCTACATTCAGGCGTTAATATTTGTTTTGCATTCGCTAGAGGGATTTACCTAGTAGGATATGGAGTTCAGCCTTCCTGCATGATCAACCAACCATCTAGACACCACTTACACCCCCAATACATTAGGCAACACAATCACAAGGCTGAACAGCAACCGATATAGTAAGAGTACGTCTATTGGCAAGTGGGATACGAAAGATAGGCCTATGTTCCGTTTCGGGCACAGAGTTCTATCTCTGCTGCATAGTTGCATCAGTAGGCAACTAAATGCCTATCAAGGCTGTAGGTAGATCCGAGGAGCCATCTCATAAGACCGGTGTAGACATGGACATATAATGTTGTGAGACTCAGCAAAGTTTATTCTATTCAAATTCTATTTGCACAACCCTTAGTCAACCTCGAGTCTCGTTCTCTCAACTTTCGACCTATTCAACACGATTTTATCTCACCATGGCTAGCATGCCGGAAACGCATTTCACTGGGCCGATTAATGAGTGCGCCACATCTGTCAAGGTATTGTGAAGGAAGCCGAATCCTGGGTTTGACAACTAACGGTGTTAGTGCTCCATTTGTGGTCACTGTAAGAAGCGCCAGTGCGAATGCACATGCAATTAATAGCTTGTTTGGGCTATATGGGCACCAAGGACCGGGGGATGCTTCATGAAAACTCTATCATGTGAGATCCTATTAATGAAGCGGCGTAGGAATGAGTGGAGGTGGATTGATTTTTGCTTAGGAGAAGGAAGGCGGAAACATGGTTGTAGCCTCGACTTAGTTGTTGTCATTCGCTTTGTTGCTATAATGAGAACCGAATGAAACGAAATTTCTTTGGACTAGCTTTTGTGCCAGAATATACGCTTTGGAACATAATGTTCGTCTGTTAAGTTTATTAGCTAAGCCCTGAGATGCGTTTAAAAGCTTAACGCTGGGATTGAGATGAATCCATGTCGGCGGTATGGCAAGGTAAAGCAAGGCAAGGCACAGTGGGTGTGGCGTGAAGGATAAAGTACGGCTACTATCAGACTGGTTCGCCAACCAGTCAAGGCTAAAGGACACTACTAGCTATATGTATACAACCGTTGGCATTCGGTTCGTATCAGAACCTATAGGAGTTCATGCTCATGTCATGTACGTACAAGTCGTTGAGTCGAAAGTAAATTACATCCTTTATTCAATTCCTACTTTCCTGCATAATAATCAACCACAACGAAACACATCACAAACATGGGTCCAGAGGCAGACATCAGCGTCATATCCGTAGCAATATCGATATCACAGACTGTAGCCTCAGAAAAACGTTATCTAGTCAAACAAATCCCCAGCCCACCGCATTGATCTAACAACCCAAGTCGTCTCTCACACCGAGCAACTACGTCTGAACAACTTTCCCCTACTCTTTGTAATCCAAATTTACTCACCATTCCAAACAAAGGACCTGTCACCACCTCACTAAAAGCCCAAGAAACTAGCCTCGAGCTCAAGCCCGCAAATCAACTGCAACACTTGTAGTCTCGTCCTTCTTCTTCTTCTTCCAAGCACTTACCGAAACCATGCTTATTCTCCTAGAAACCCAGCTACGGGTGTGGGGATGGTTGTAGATTTGCCATTTTTTTTAAAGAGACGTATGAGTTGAAGACACGTAGGGCTTTTTTGCTAAAAGATTTCAGCACCAGCAACAGCCTGTGACCACGGAAAAGAGCACCGCTTTCTTGCACCTCATGAGAGATGACCTCCAAGAACCGTTTCGCATGCTCGCCACGCAACCTATCGTCCAGCTTCTGGCGACCTACATGTGCCTCTTATACGGCACCATGTTCCTCTTCCTCTACACGTACACTCTCATGTGGGACAAGCTATATCACCAAAGCATCCAAATCGGGAGTCTAAACTATATTTTTGCTGCAATGGGCTAGGTAGTTGGTGTCAACGCCGCGGGGCACCTCAACGATTAGATCTACGCCAAACTCAAAGCTCGCAACGGCGGTGTAGGGAACCCTGAATTTCGTATTCCGGCTATGATTGTAGGCACGCTTTCTTGTGCCTGTTGGGCTAGTCTGGTGGGGACGGTTGGGCCAGGCGAAGATGCACTGGATCATGCCGAATGTTGGGTGCTTTATTTTTACCACTTGATGCTATGTTTTGCGCTAGTTGCGTTTCGCTCTTTCTGATTGATACATATGACAAGTATTCTGCTTCGGCTTTGTCAACGGCTCGTCTTACGCGAAGTTGCGCAGCGGCTCTTTTTTTTCGCTTTTTGCACCATATATGTTTGATCGTCTGGGGTTTGGACTGGCTGCGACAGTATTGGCAGCGGCGTTCATAGTTGTGGACTTGGCGACTATTGTTGTTCTTTGGTTCTAGGGTGAACGGATCCGAGCTAAGGGCACATACAGTGTCTACGTACTTAGACTAGTTGGGATGAGAAGACGTGTGAATGACATCATGCATGGACGCTTTTTGTTTTTGGCAGTTCTTTTTGTGTATCTGACTAAACTGGTAGCCATGACGTAGCTGTGGATGTGCGTTTTAGGAAAAAGATGGATGCGGGTTTGTTTTGTCGTACACTTTGCTATGATATCAACATCAACATGTAGACTCTTATGTATCATTGAATGATTAGAAAGACTCTGGGCATATCGGTTAAATTGTCCCACTATTTCGGATATTGGTTTGATATTTAGATGTGGAAACAATATTGTAATTATGTGCCCTCAGGTTGATTTGGACAAATTGACCCCAATGCCCGCCATAAGCGCATTTCTCAACTCTGGTCAAACATGGGTTGCCACAAAATGGATATTAATTCCACG